GTCAATTAAAATATTGTGAAAAATGCATTACAAACAGGATTGTAAAAGTGTATGAATACAATCGATGTTTACTCAGTTTCTTGCAAATTTTAATTCATTTTTAATCATAATTGTGTTTACCTGGACTGTTGTTGTGGTCACGAGAAACAAACAGAAGAAAAAAAAAGAAAAGAAAATGAAATGTCAATATATATACCAGAAGCAAAAGCATTAACGCAAGCCGTTTCACAATTTGGCCCCAATATAATAGCCACGATGTTATTAGTCAGTAAATTGCATAAGTTATCAATCACTTAAATTATTATTGTTCTCATCTCTAATTCTCATATTTACTAATAATATTAGTACTGGCAGTTTTATTGTTATGCTGATTATTTTCATATATTTTTTTACTGAAGACTTAAAGTATTTCATTAATCAAATCAGCTATTCCCAAAGCAGTTATGAACAAAGTTAGCTTAGATTTGTAAGAATAATAAATGGTTATAGAAAAGCAATATTTACCATATTTTTTTTGAAGAAAGTGAAACAAATATGCTGATAATAAGTACGTAAGTTGCAAAGAGTAATAATAGAACAAAGAAAAATTTTGATACGGTCGACAGACAGTTACATTATGAAATGCAATCTCAAAGCAGTGTCGGCGTAGATAGGTTATATATTTGAATTCAATTTCACTCTGTCAGCACCTATATCACATTTTCTGCCAATGGACTGTTAGATTCGATTAATTTAACATTGACTATCAAAAGGCAGTCCTTTCATCGCTTTCAAAACATTTCGTTTCGCTTTAACATACTCTTCAATAATTAACTACCCAAGCAGACAAAATTTTTCAAAAACGCGTTTAAACGCCCAAAAAGGGATGAAAAATCTATAAAAAGTGGACGTGTTTGGATGCTAATTGAGATTCCCGATTGTAAGTGAAAAACGCTCACTTTCCCAGCTTCTTGTGCGTTTAAGCCCCTCCCCCTCAGGGAACCCATTTTTTCAGAAAAAAGTTCAGATTGATTTTTTATCATAAAAAGATGTGCCGAAGCTTCCTCTTTCAGAATATATGTAGCCTTTCGCAAAACGGTAAGATTTTCATCAACTTATTAGAAGGAAATTCGACTTCACTAACGATTTTTCCAGAAAACTTTCGTGTTTTTCCAGTTTTGAAAAATTAAATTGTCACTTGAATCAGCATTGAATAGGACATCTTTATATTAACCAGCATGACAGATGACATTAGCTGACATAATCGGTTACGTGCTTTAAAACGTCTGACTGAAGTACATTACAAATATTTCATTATAATATGATTTTTCTGGAATTGAAGGAAAAACTCCGTTTCCAAAACTTCTTTAGCGTTTTTCTCAAAACATGGTTTTCAAATAGAAAAAGTGTTATAACGTACGTTTGGCTTTAGCGTTCCCCGATATTTTTTTTAATTTTAAAGGTCTCGATTAGAGCTAACTTTTCATTGACCGCATTTTTGATAGTTGATTGCTGGACTGAGAAAAGTCCAATTTGGTGCGTTTTTTATACCTAATTTGGCAGTCATACAGAATAAAATGCTTATAAAAAATTAACAGAAGGGAATTTCAAAATTCTGTCTGATGAAAAGTTGCGTATGGGGGCTAGTTTTAATTTAAAACCTACCCGCCATCGATAGCTCTCATAGTTAGGAAGTTATACCAATTCTCGTGGAAGCTATAAAACAAGCCATAAGTCTGGTTTAGTAAGGTATACATGACTGAAGTTTTTACCACAAGCGTTTCTCAACAAGACCATTCATTCCTGAAAGTTTCAGCCCAAACCTATACTTGAAAGTGGAAAGTCGATTCTGAGCGGGGGAGGGGGGCGAGGGGGGCTTAACGCGTTTTCAGTTAAAACACGCATGTAAATGCATAAAAAGGAAAAAAGTGGTTTTTTATTTCATAGTCATTCTCAATGACGGGATCATAATAAGAGTTCTTAAGTATCATAAAGGCGACCACTATTTTTCTCTTTTTTTGATGCATTTACAAGCGTGTTTCGACTGAAAAAGCGTTAAACGCACAAGAAGGTGGGAAAGTGAGCGTTTTTCACTCACAATCAGGAACCTCGATTAGCATTCAAACATGTCCACTTTTTATAGATTTTTCGTCCCTTTTTGGGCGTTTAAACGCGTTTTTGAAAAACTTTGTCTGCTTGGGTATCAGGATCTCCAGATAAAGTCGACATTTATTTCTTCTAGTGCATTTGTTTTTTACGTGCTCGATGCGCCAATACTTTTTGTGGAACTCACATATATATTTGAAGAAAATAGTGAGTGTAAGTTTAAGGGGGAGAATTTTGCGGCTCGCCTACCCCCTCCCCATAACAGACATTAACAACTAATTATTGATTAGAATAAAAAGTAAAAATATAATAAACAAAACTGCGAGAAATAGTAAAGAAAAAACAGGCTGACCTATCTATGTTGAAAAAGAGATATAGTCAATCTGCTCTTCTCAACTCTTGCTTTTCAGCAATCGATTGTTTTGTCGAAGTTAAATGAATGTGTTAAAATAATAAGTTATTGTGCTTTGTATAAAAAGGGTGTGGGTGTGGGTGTGGGTATGAGTGCATCTGTGAAGGTATTGTATCCACAACTAGACCCGCACCCACACCCACACCCCGAACATAGAAGTGAAATGGTCTTGACATTAATGTATTCGAACTGTACGCGAAATACTAAATCAGAATTTATACGAAATGTATTAACTTTTTAATATTCATATAATATTATTTTTCGCAATTTAGAAAGAAAATTAATTAAACCATGTTTCAGAACGGATCCCCCCAGAATAAATGGGCATGGCCTTATATAGTGTTTGAGTACATCGTTATTTTTTCGGTGGCCTTCTGTTGAGGGTCAATTTTTAATCAAAAATTAATTCATAATCTCAATTATTTGTTTTTAGACCTTTTCACTGAAAAAACTGTACTATTTACGATACGACAGTGAGAATTTCGCAAAAAATCGATTATTTTGACAAAATATTCATTAAAAATACTGCATTTTTGTAATTAATTAGTGCATGACCTTATACAGGGAGTGGCCGCCTATTTGGGGGGAGTATTGTTCTATCGAATCTTTGATGTTCTTATTTAGAAAAATATTACTTACTGTGAGCTTTTCCTTTCTTATTTTGAATAGCTTAAATAGTATAATCCTCTTGGCAGAAACACAATTGTTCAGAACGAAAACTGTTTTATTTTACTTTCGTGTGTTTTTTTATGAAAAAAATTCTGTTTCTTTTTGGAAGTAAAATTTTTAGTAATTCAACTTTATAAATCTTGTACACTTATTTTATTTTCCAGATTAATAGAGTTCAAGGAGAACAGAGCGTAACTGCTGATAAAAAAAACAAATATATCTCCTCGATTATCTGAAGATTTTGTTATCAAAAGTCTCAATACAAAGCTCTTTTTCCTATGTTACTGAGATTTACAAGAGTTTTACAATCAAATTCGCTTTCGATAAAAGCATTTTACATTACATGAATTACATAAATGATTAAAGTAGTTCTCTTGGCTATAACATAACAACTAGAAAACAAACTTTATTTTGTTTTATGAAAGAAGAAATCGAAAATAAGAAATCTTTTTCTTTTTCGAAAGTAAACTATATGTGCTCCAATGAATCATTTCTTTTTTTCTCACAATTGACATTCTACTGAAGCTTTCTGTACACATCCATTACATACATTGTTTGTTTTCAATTGAAATTCCGGCTGATGTTAAAAACTGGATGGAATTGATGTTTCTTGTGAGTTCCACAGCATCAAATAACGTGCTATTATTATTGGTATAGTGATCATCTTAAATCTATCATGAATTGAATTAAATTCTTTCATTTTCTATGATCATTCCTAACAAAAATTGATTAGTTCGATTTGCTGTTTTATAAATCATCTGCCGACCATTGTAATGACGTTTTTCAGTTCTTCGAAGCACAAATATGAATATTCGATAGGTTTAAAAAGAGTTTTCTTGGCAATATTGGATTTTTAATTTGGTTACATTATGGTATACGTGTCTTACATTCATGGAGAAATTGTTTTATAAATGGAAATGAAAATACATGACAATTAACGTATATGAAACCTGTAATATCTGCCAGGGAATCGAACATTGTGGGCGCTCAGAGTGAGAGATAGTGTTCAGACTTGATGTTAACCTACGCGAATCTGATGGAGTTTTATAAATAATACTCGTACGTTCCTGAGTAATTGGATCTCCTTCGAACGGATTATCCATCTTTTGCTTTACTCTATAGAATAAAAATAAGAAGCATATTTATTTGCTTCATATACAAACAAGTTACTTTTAAGCAGTATATTGATATTTCTGAAAAATCATTTTATTTTAATCAATAGAAATTTGAGTTTAAAAAAAGAATATTTTCGATAAAATTTTACGTATACGGCCAATGAGATAACGAATAGAAAAATATGCACTTAAATCAATGCTTTTTTCTAATCAAGGAGCAATATATCTACTTTTACTTATTTTGGCTATCCATAGGATTTAATTCAGTGATCATTTCTCTAAATATCTGCAGTTCAGAGTGTTGCGAACAGAAACATGTGTACTATGGAGATTCATTATCGAGAAGCTAAAATAGGTTTCTATCTTTGTATCCGACGAATTCAAAAATTAAAGTACTGATTTTTCTTCTGCAATCAAATAAATTCTTATCGATTCCCACATAAAACACTTATCATTCTCTCTTTGCAAGCTGTTTTCAGCGTAACAATATACCAAGTAGACGTAAAAAAGAATGGATATCATCTATTCTGCGTTCTTTTTCTTTCCTTCTTTAAATCCGACGACAATTGACGTTGTTTTCATTTGTTCTATCGTCAGGTCATGCAATGTAGGACCTTGATTCTTTTTCTTTAGCAATAACAAAACAGAATTACGAAACGCGAATACAAGGCATATAAAATAAAAGAATATCACTTCTATATTTTATTCATCGGTACATAATGGGGACTATCATCAAACAAAAATCTATTATAATTAAATGTTCAAATCCATCGAATACTATTGAATCAATCACGTGCATGGCGGTTGAATCAACTGCAAAACATTATCCTGTTAGTATGATTTGGGTTTATTCAAATTTATCAAAAGATGATTTTATGCCATCTGATCAATTACAAACTACTCTATCGGATACTCTCAATTATTTTTCAATACTGGCTGGTCGTGCTACAGAAAATACAAAAGGCAATGTTATCATGCATTTAACAAATGAAGGTGTTCTTTACACTGAAGCAGAATGTCCGAATAATACTTTAGATTATTTTATACCGCGAACATCTTCAGATGAAAATTTCGATTATGAACATATCAATACAAGTGATTTAGCTGTAACATTAAAAACCGGTCGTACAGAACCTTGTGTATCGATACAAGTGACGCGTCTCTACAATGTAATAGTGTTATTCTTAGTGTATCGGCTCATCATTATTTAGTAGATGCACAAAGTATGTCACATTTCGTCAATACATGGGCTTCAGGAAAACCACCACAAGCAATGCCGATGTTCGATAAAACATTTGTTTTACATTCTACTGAACGAAAAAATTCTTTAGCTCGACCACAAGAGTGTGTTTTCAATTGAGATATGAAACCGAAAGTTGATTCAGCATTTGTTAGTACACAAGAACAACAACGTACAATTTGCAAAATTTATTTTTTCTCTGTTGATGAATTAAAAGATCTTAAACAAGAAGCTTCTAAAGACTTATCACAAGATTACATTAGTACTTATGATGCACTTTTTCCTCATATGATTTTAGTAATTGCTGCAGCTACTCAAACTTCATTAACTAGTGAAATCAAAATTCTGCAATCATTAAATGGTCGATCGAGATTTGTTTCTTGTTGTTCATCGGCTGCAGAGATGGGCAGCTCCGAGCATTTCGCGCTCCAGCTCCGCTCCAGCTCCGCTCCAGCTCCGCTCCGCTCCGACTCCGCTCCGGCTCCACTGAGAAGAAAATATTTTTTTATTTGTCCTCCAACTTAAATATATTCAGTGAATTTTATGTTTTCCTACTGTACGTATATACGCATACACATAGAATACAGAGAAAAAGGTTATTAATAGATTTAAAAGAAAGAGCCAAATATTGATTTTTTCGCAGAAAGAACAAATTATCAATTTTATTAAGAAAAAAGGGCAAAGTATCGATTTCTTTAATAAAAGAACCCAAGCGATGAATTTTTTAAGAAAAAAGAAGGAAGTGTTGATTTATTTGACAAAAAAAATCATGAGCTTTTTTAAGAATAAAGAACAAAATAGTAAACTATTTAAGAAAAAAACAAATTGTGAGCTTTTTTGAGGAAGAAAGAAGAAAGCATTATTTTATCTGAGAAAAGAGAACATTGTACTGGTTTATTTAATAAAAAACACAAATCACCAAGTTTTTCAAGAAAAAAAAGTATTAATTTATTTAATCAAAAATAGCAATAAAATGTCAATAATTTATAGAGCATTTCAATAAAACTTTTGCAGTTTAGAGTAATTTCGATCAATTGTCATTAAAATCTATTGAAGTTTGATGAAATATGTCGATTCAAATCACTTAAAGATCTCTCATACATTAAGTACTAAAATGAATACGAATTTGTCATTTTTTATTGAAATTCAATCAAGAAAAATTGAGGTCGAGCAATATGGTATGTGAAAATATAAGTTCCTAATAACTTATGATGATAAATTGATTAGAAGGTATAAAAATTTAATCTAAGGTTTTCATCAACATTTTGATGGACTTTCATCTAATCTTCTTTCCAATTCTTTTTATATGGGAAGAGCAAAGAGTGAGCTTATGCTTGGAGCGCTAAAATCAAAATGTCGCTCCGACTCCGCTGCAAATATAAAAAATAACGCTCCGACTCCGCTCCAGCTCCACTATTTTTATGAGTCGCTCCGCTCCGCCCCATGGAGCGGAGCTAGCTCCGTGGAGCGGCCGCTCCGGAGTCGGAGCTGCCCATCTCTGCTTGATATCCATAAAGTTAAGAATAAAGAATTTAAAAAATCTATATTCTTTGAAAAGCAGTGAGAAATAAATCTTTATCTTTATGTTTCGAAATAAAGTAAATATAAAGATAAATGGAAGTCTTTTTTATTATTCTATTAGTGAAATACGAAAAACTAGCATAACAAGAGGGTACACCTCAATCGCTCTCTATAACACCATGTCCACATATCCTCTTACTAAAAAGACAGACAGAATCATGAACAAAAATAAAACACATAGAAAAATATTTTATGTTTATTTCATGTCCGGTTTTGGTATTATCACTTCATATAAACTAATATACTGAAAATCAAGTATGAGATTGTGATAGAAAATGTTGATTTATTCTTTATTTTATAGACTTAGATAAGATAATGTCATTATTTTGATTTGTTAAAGATAAAGATATTTTCCAATTTTACCTTTTTCAAAATAAAGATTTCACGTATTGTTATTTTTCGAAGAAAAAACATCGCTCAAATTCTTTTATTTTGAAGTAATAAAGGTAATGTTTCGATTGATATTTGTTTAGTAAATAAAATATATAGTTGCACCTCTCATGTTGACCTGAAAAAAGCGATGTCAAATTCATACATATGAATATTGTTGTTTAGAAAAGATATCTTATACAACTTCACACGTAATTAACATAAACATTTCTTTTTTAATGTCTCGAGGCTGTAGCAGGTTTTTTTTCTTGACTTTAACCACTTCCAGCTGAATATTTCCATTTGGAAACATTTTTCTGCATAGGCTTATGGCATTTTTGAAACCGTCGGTCGCAAAGCGTTAAATAAACCCGATGAGAATGACGTGAGTGAGAAAAAAAGATTACATCGATATTTTATTGGCCGAAAGTTGTCAACAGACACCGACACTGACATCGAGGAAAATTTAAAAGCATTTTTTTAGAATCAACAATGACTAATATGTTTTCACGAGAGTTTTAAACAGAACAGAAAAAATTGATCTCGAGCAGTATATATACTAGTGACATGTTCGATGTTGTACGTTAAAAACAGAACACAAGGCAATTCTATTTACTAGCGGTTCGAAAAGAATTCTACTTGCATCTCAAATTGCGTCAATTTTTTATTGATTATGGCATCTCACTCACAAATGCAATTAAGATCAGCCCGACGTGATTCTATAGAATCTGTAAGTGATAACATTTAAGTTTAGTTCTAATTGAAATTTACTCGATTTTATTAATAGACTACATCGATGTGGGAAAGTATTTATGGCCGATTTCCTGCAACAAAACAAGATGCTCCATTTGGTAATGATGAGAATAAAAATTTACTAGACGGAAATCTGTCAGATAACGATAATGAAGAGTATGAAACTGAAAATAATGAACTAGAACCGAATCCGAGGAATCAACGAAAAATTGACACAAATCAAAATATTAGACCTTGGAAAATACCCACAACTCAAAATCATTTAATAATTATTGTGAATGACGAGAAAAATTTCGATGAAGTTAAGCAAAATATAAAAAGGGACTTTTCAAGACAAGGTTTCAATTGGAGTGATGAAGAAGAAGAATTACGCCCATGGTGTTTTGGGTTAACATCAATACATGTTAAATTTATTCAACCAAAGATAATTGATTTGTCAATACTTTCTTTAGCTTCATCTATACCTTTTTGGTTAACATTTAAAAAAGAAAAAGAACAAAACAAATCAGACGATCAAAGGAGCAAAAAGTCAATTCGTCATAGACTCAATTTAAATTACGATGTTTCACTTCGTTATGGTGCATTGACTAGTGTAAATGAATTTTTTTACGCACAAAACCATTCGTTCGGCAATAATGACTACTTAAATTGGTCGTTTTTTTTAAATGATCAATTTAATAATAGTGGCTGTATTGATTGGATCATAGAAAATTCTGAAACAAGATTAAAAAAACAGTTATTAATTTCTAATATTAATCATTCTGTTATCATTGATTCAGATGAAGATGGTTTTAGCTTATATATATGCCAAAAATGCAACATGAACGAATTTAAGAGTAAGTCAACCGTAAACCAAAATTATCATAATAATCGTGGAAACAATTTTTCACGTCCACGTTCGAAACATAACAAAGAAAATGTTTTAAAAGATGGTGTCCCACCACCATCTCATCGTCGGTCAAGCCATGGACCTCGTAAAGCTGTACCAATTGGCTCGACAAATGATGCATACAAGTCTAAACCTCTTAATACTGAGGGACTTCATCAGACAAATCATCAATCTCGACAACAACAAAGAGCCACTTATGACCCACTTCAGAGATGTAGTGAAGATGGAGGTTGCTACTTTTCCACTATTGAATTTAGTATGCGTTATAATCCATTGCGTGTAAGAATTCCTCAACAAAATATTATCAATGAAATACAACAAAAGCTTTCAACACTTATCGAATATTTCCTTGCACAAAGAATAACTGTTTGTTATGGAAAAATTAATTCAAAAAGTGGACCAACGCCTTATTTATTTTTTCAAGAAAGACTACCCGATTTTCCGTCACTTATAATGAAATATTCATGGCAATTACTTTCTATCGTTGGATATCGTTTACAAATCCAAGTATATAAGGAAAAATTCATTGAAAAACTATTTAAATTGAGTGAAGAACAATACAATCCTGATGAATTATTCTATCGTGTATGTGTTTATCTTTCACGTATATGTTCACTGAAACCCTTTGCGAATATAAACGATGAATTACAACATGCAGTTAATGAATCAACGAGAAAACGAACTGCTTCGGCTTATGGTTTAGTTAGTAAAATAGTTACTTCAAACGAAAATGAAGCTTATATTCCATCAGTTTCGTTAACACCAACAACAATACGAATAAAACCATTAAAATTATGTCGAACAAATCGAGTTCTTAGAGCTACTGAAAAATTTGGTAGATCAACCGAAAATTTTGCTCTTGTTGATATTCGTGATGAAAACGGTTCAGATTTACAACCGCATCATTTTCATCATTTACATGACTTTCTACTTAAGTTTTTGAAATATGGATTTATATTAATGAATGATAATCGAGAATATAAATATTTACATCACTCTCAATCTCAATTGCGTTCACGACAATTTTGGTTCTATCATCATAATAATTATGACAAAGATCCCAGCAGAAGAAATTGCAGTTTTCAAGAAGCCTATAAATGGATGGGAAAGTTTGATAAGGAAAATAATCCAGCTAAATATGCTGCTCGTATGGCTCTTTGTTTTACTACAACAACAGCAACTGTTCTGGTGTGTATACTAATATATTTTGTTTAACATGTCTATGTTTCTTATATGTAGGTACCAAAAGAGAGAGTTATACACCATGCACCGGACATCAAGACTGAAGTCAATGGAAAAACTTTATTATTTACAGATGGTTGTGGAAAAATGTCAATTGAATTCAGAAATAGAGTAAGAAATATTAAGCATATGAAGTTTCTAAAATAGAATTCAATGTTGATAACTAGTACGGTAAATAATATGCTATAGTATAGATATGCCAATATTTCAAAATAGGGATGCAACGATGACATCAAAAAATCTCTCCACTGTTATCGTTTAACCAGTCTGCAGCAGTAAACGATTTAACTATCATCGTTACAGTCCTAATTGTAAACCTAGATAGAGTTCTAATAGTATCTATTTTGATTATTATAATAATTTTTTTTCATTCTAATTCGCAGATAAAAAAATCTCTCGATATCCGAACGGATTTTAGTTGTGTTCAATTTCGTTATAATGGTGCCAAAGGGGTCGTTAGTATTGATCCTGAGATGCCAGCAAATACTGATCTAGTTATTCGTGATAGTATGGAAAAATTCAAAACTGATCATGAGTTGTTTGAAGTATGTAAACGCTCAGCACCTCGAGCAAACTTTCTCAATCAACAAGCGATTCTACTTTTATCTTATCGAAAAGTGCCTGATTCATCATTTCTTATACTTCAACAAGAAAATCAACTAAGGCTTATTCGGGCTCTTCTCCGAAATTCTGATGCAGAAAAAATTATCCTTGAAAAAGTTCCAACATGGTTTTTGCCTAACGATATACATATGGCGAATATTGATTATATTCATGAACCATTTTTTAGACATTTACTTATCAATGCATGTTTACAATCAACAAGAGATTTACTTAGAAAAGCACGTATTCGAGTTCCACCAAATAAAGGTCGAAATATGTTTGGTATTGTTGATGAATATAATGTTCTTAAATCTGATGAAATATTTATTCAATACACAAAAATTGAAGATGGTCGACCTCGTAATAAAACTGAAATACTTGAGAAATGTAAAGTTGTCATTACAAAAAATCCTTGCTATCATCCAGGCGATATTCGAACATTTACGGCTGTTAATCATCCAAGATTACAACATTTGAAAGACGTTGTTGTTTTTTCACAACAAGGTGATCGTCCAGCTCCACATGATATAAGTGGATCTGATTTAGACGGAGATGAATATTTAGTGGTTTGGCATGAAGATTTTGTTCCATATAAGACTAAGAACGCCGAACCATATGAGTATGATACAAAAATACCTGAAAAACAGTTTCGTACACTGTATAAAAAAGAAGAGGCTACTGTCACCATACTAGAGATAGCGGAAGAAGATTACTTAGGACGACTTTCGAGATTACATTTAGCTTTTGCCGATAAATTTGGTATTGATAATTTTACGCCACCAGCAGAAAATACTTTGTCAACAGTTGCATTAGCGGGCAAAATTAGTCAAGAAGTTGATNTATCACAATCAAATATTTACTTCCCAACAATATTACCTCATTCCTACATTTCAAAACCAGCTTTATCAACACTTACATTACCCTGCAAAATTAGTCAAGAAGTTGATAGTGGTAAAACTGGTTATCATCCATTACATGATAATGATATTAAAAAGTTGAATAATGCACTTGAAAATAAACGACCTGATTTTATGGACAAAGCTGGTTTTGAAATGTACGAATCACCTAACATTCTTGGCAAGTAAATCTTTCATTGTCATATTTTCTATGAAAATCATGTATTGTCGAAGAAAATAATGAGTATTACTTTAAATCTTATCTCTTTTTAGTTTGTTTCTGCAGTTTAGTCGACCAAAATCTAACTTGATTGATTACATATTCATCGAAACTGAGAATAAATAATACAAACTCTTTTCTAATTTCTTTTATATAGAAAAAGCTCTATGAAGATACCAAGCCTTTTTCTCCTGTTCTGTCATTTGAGCATACGATAGTATCATACCAATCTCCACAGCACGATTGATTTCTTTAATCATAGGAAAGTTTTGAAAAATACCTATAATCTACTAGATATTATTGTACGAATTTTACATTAGAATTGTGAAGTTAAAAAAATCACGGATAATTTTCAGTTTACTCTGATAGGAATAATAATAGCAGTTGTTTTTATCTGATTGTATAGGACAATTATTTCGTTCTTCGAAGCGAATATTGCCAGGATGGAATCGACTTCTTCGACATCATCGTCATTTACGACATTTACAAGTTCGAACACAAGATGGGTCTGAAGAAGATGAAGAGGAAAATTTAAAAGCTGATGATGAAGAGATGAAGATTAGCGGAGATCAGTCACTTCTTCATGGTGTCGATCGCGAGCGTCCCGAGTATCATGTATGTGCCATGTTGGCTAATAATTTAGTTTCTGTTTATCGACAAGAAGTGTTCGAAATTCTTAATTTATATGGTCTATCACATGAAAGCGACTTATGGTGCCGAAATTCTAGCAAAGGTCTTACTGGTGAACTTGAAGATACCGCCTACACTGAACTTGAACAGCTGGTAGATCGTACAAGGACTCATCTCTTCAATGATCAAATCGTTTATTGTGAAAATGATCTTTGTAATATTGATACATCAATTAAAAAGCTATGCGTGCAATGTCAAAAACGACAGCAAGCACTAGTAGTTGCATGTTACTGTGGCTGTTACGATGGAGATCTTGCTTCGAAGCAAGCACCCATTTTAAGTTTACCATGGATATTTGCTTCGGCTCTCTTACAAAATTGTGTAAGTCAAAAATCACGACCATCGCCAAGAGGTGTATTGATTACGGCGATGAATCAAACTATTATTGACTTAGTTTCGCAGAAAAGATGGCTTCAATTAAATGGTCAGACCTTACGATTTAGAACATCGAGCATTCCTTTTGTTGGTGAATTTAATGTTGACTTGACTCTTTGCGTATTCATTGAAATACTTCAAAGCTATATGGGACCCAAAAAACATCGAGATTGGCCTCTCGTATTAAGTCGTTTTATACGAAGTACATCATTTTATACATTATCGTCTGAACAATCTCAATTCACTGACGAATGGAAACTCGTATTAAAATCGCATCAAGTAGATTTGGAAGATGATTATGCGGGTAGCCTTCTTTCAATTCGCTTGACAGAAGAGGACGATCGTAAGATGCACAATTACTTTCAAGGTCTTCTTGACATTTGTTTTAATGAAGCACGATCAACTAATAATATAGACTTGCTGAAGATCAGTGAAGATGTTATATTATTATTGCAAAGGATGGCTATCAATGAGACAATTACAGAGATGGCATGGTAAATTCATATTTCAAGGAAATTCAAATTTTTAACAGATCTTCATTTGAATTTCCAAGTGACTATCTATAATTCTTTGGGTTGGATTCGGTTGCGTGAAGAAATTCATTTGAATTTCCAAGTGTCTATCTATAATTCCTTGGGTTGGGTAAGGGATCATACAAGTATTGCGTAATCAATCTGAAGGGGGGTAGGGGTGAGCGCAAGATTACATCAATGAAACTTATAAATAAATAAAAATAGTTTTTAATTACTTTAGGGGGAGGGTGCGGGTGTGGGTGTGTGGGGTGTGAGATGTGGGTGTGGGTGTTAGTGGTGTGTGAATGTGAGTTTTTTACTCTTTCGTATCCTTACCCACACCCCATCTTATGTATTCACTGTGGTTTTTTTTTTTTATTTCTACATAAAGAAAGTATTTCAAAGATGCGAACAATTAATATAGATTTCAATAAAAGAGATCCAATTCAGTTTATTTAATTGTATGAGATATTTTAAAAAAAATTCATAGAAAATGAATATGTAGTTGACAACTATTAATAACAATCAAAATTATGTATACATACATTCATCTCTATAATTGTAACAATAAACAATTTGATATTTCCTGCCGGGGATGGCGTTGTGGTTCTATGCATCTGAGTTCAGAGATCAGAAGGTTCGATTCTTTCCCCCGGCACGGCGGTGTCATTGGTATAATAGTGTACGGTATCGGGAGAGAAGGTGACCAATCGCTTTTAATATATGCTGATCTTTATCCTTTCCTTGTGTTTCTTGCGTGTTTTTCTTTTCTTCCTCTGTTTGTTATCGTCATCCTATCCTTCGACTCTTCGCTATTGTTTTATCTTCTATAAACACATTTATTGTTAGGACCACTAGGTCACAGTTTCTCGCATAACAAAAAAAAACAATTTGATATTTCCTACTATAATAGTAATAGTTATCATTAGATCTCTTCAGAATCTTAACTCATACGAAACGAATTGTGTTTTGTTAACTCAAAACTTCTATCAAATATTCACAGTATAATGTGAGATCATTTAAATCACAAATGATTTCAAAATATGAATAATAAAATGAAATCTGGTATTTCAGTAGTCAAAAAGTCATTTTTGATCACACATGTCTCACTGGAAAATATATTGACTAATCTACTTATTATTAGAGAAGAAACTGAGAGTGATATAACTACTTTTGAGTAGAAGTCAAACTATTGTTTAATATCGCTTTTTAATAAAATATAAATTGTGTAAAAAAATTCATTCTCATCGGTATAGATTTTTGCTAAGAAAAATTGTGATTGTTGATTTTCTCTTGTTATTTTCAATATGAATTTTGAAAAGAATTCCACTGGTAGAAAATAAATATAAATAAATTATTCCTTTTTAAGTTAAGGAGTTTATTTATGCTATTATAAATTGCTCTTTCTCTGCTAATGTATTTTTTTGTTTCTATTCACTACTTTTGTCGAAAAACAGTAATAAATTAGTGTGTGGGTGTGGGTGTGGTTCTTCGCTTCATCGATATCCACTCACGTTCATACTTATATCCACATCCACACCCGTCAATCGAAAATGTTTAGGGAAGATAGGCGAGAAAACTTTTGGGGTGACCTATGTATATTAACTAATATTGCTGCAACCCTTTCGACTCAACGTCCATGTTGCATAGTCGAAATTCTTTCACACTCATTTACATGAAGGAATATAGTCATTAGTCTACACTTCGGTTTGGTACACAAATTTATTTTAATATGAAAAGAATATAGAAATGAAGTCTAGAGTTCAACCAGTCAGACAAAGAATGAAAAAATGTTAAAATTTTAACAAGAAAAAAAGATGTAGGTGTGGATATGGTTTATCTGTTCATGTCCACCTACACTCACACCCCGTTTATTCATGACGTTTCAAGGATCACGAAAACGATAAAACATGCTAATCACTATTGGATTATCGAAAAATCATGGCTAGCTTTAGCTTCTGTAATTTTCTTCTATTCGTGCTTCTATTATCTCGCATACAGTGAAGAAAGTCTACAGATTATGCTCATAATTCAGTTTTTACTTTTGGTGAATAAAATGTGCTATGTGAAATCAGAGAAAATATTTACGGTTTTAAAAATTCTCTTTCCTTAAATATATTTCAGCGACTATCGAGCGATGTTCTGTTGTTGGGATTACTGCGTCACAAAGAATGGATTTTTTATCCATACAGGCGAGTTAGATATTGTTTCTACTTCGTGCACAGCACCTTCTATAGAACGAAAGATAAAGGATGTGAATGTGATTCACTCTTATCAATACTACACGTTTGTTATTAAAAAGAGTAAAGCACGTGTGCATTTGTTTCCTTTCTTCGTTCTATAGAAGCTATTGAGTACGAATTTATAAGGTATGCATACGCACGTCATTTTCTTATTGTTAGATTGTGAATCAGCTGTAAATTACTGAATAAAATGGTTGAAACATCGAATGAAAATGTTTAAATCAGCAGTATTGTTCCACTTACTCAAATACCTCAATAGCCAGCATAACTCGCTTTATATTGAGAACCATATCTGCTCATATATATAAATAAAATACTTGCATGAATGGTTCGATATCTAACTGTACATGTATGTCTATATGATGCATACTCTATATATCTTAATGAGAATCTCAATAGAAAGTTTTCCCCAAAAGTCAAATTTTGAATGTTATTGAATCACATCAGCTAATTATTAAAAATTTTGGGTGTGGGTGTGGGTGTGGGTGTGGGTGTGGGTGTGGGGGTGTGTGTGTGTGGGGGGGTCGGTCGGGGCGGGCGCGGGGCCGGGTCCCCGCGTGCGTCGGCCCGCCGGCGCCTACCTGGG